GCTGATTACAAATATATCATAATCGAACTTTTAAAATATGCTGGAATTTAGTTGGTTCTCAGCATGTGAATAACGTTTCTTCAGAAAATAATGGATGTTCCATCCATGAAGCTGTACATTCTAAATGAACGATACGTTCCGCCAAGGCTTTGTCTTCCTCAGCTGTGCAGAGGCGATTCAAAAAGTAAATTTTATAAACTAAGCAACTGAACAAATAAAATGACAAACTTGCGATGTTACTTTAATGAGTCAGACAAAAGCAGTACCCTTCATTCCATTTCACGATATATAAGGTAGATCGCTTTTCAAGAAAGATGAAATTCATTTTTCTAAAAGAATATCAATAAATATATGCACATCCGAATGCCTGATACAATCAAAAGAACCGAAGTTACAAAATACAAAACAACTTTAATTTTTGTGTACAGAAAGAATGGACACTTGCATTGCAGCAGTCAGACCGGCTTGTATTTTGAAACGTCTCGTTGACAAAGGCTACTTACCATCTGCAGCAAAAGTCTGACCATTCACTGTCGTGACAAAATTTACGGCTGCAAAACTGATATCTGGAACGGCTCGTCCACTGCTGTTGAAAAATATTGATGGGGGTATCTTTTTTCTACTGATTTGCAGATAGTGGTCAACAAAAGCTTTCTGATAATCAGGCTGTAGAACATATGCACTAAAACCACCGCCGCTTGTAATTGAACATAAAGTTTTGTCAGTCGGAGAAGCAACGACTTCCTGCAAACGTACCCTTGGTTCTTGTCTAACATAAGTACAATTTGTATTTGTAATACTCCGAATCAATAATATTCCACCAACACTTGTCATATAGGCCGATGTCGCTGGATCTGTCTTAGTGCAGTATTAGTACATAAAGTTTGTCTTGATGATGTTCCATCATCACCCGAGGAAACAAACAGTGTCAAGCTTTCTAAACCAAATGTCATCAAGTAAGGTTCTATGACGGCAATGCAATTAGATTCAAACAAAGATTGAGCAGCAGAGTAGCTAAATGTATGGACAACCGGTAACTGTATAGAACTATCAAGGACCATTTTCAAAATTTATATTATCCAGTCAAGAATTAAACCATCGAGTGTTATACTTATAGAAATAAAGTCCGTTGGTATCCCACTACCCATCGCTGTCATATATTCCGTATGAAGGGTGGCTTCATCACCCTCAATACTTGCATTGTTTATACCGTAGATCTTTCCAACATTCAAATGAAATTTTTTTGCATATACACTACCAAACGATTTAATGGTAGTACGATTAAAATATTGGTTACTAAACGCGGCAACACTTTGTCTTAGACGAGGCTCACGTTTCGCGTGTTTACCACCATAAGTAATATTATACATTGACATAGCAGCACATGAAAATGATTTTGAAGTTTCATTGGTTTTATCTTCCGTTTTTCTAGGAAACTCAATTAAAAATAAACACTGTTTTCCTCAAATCGATATTGAAATCATGTATAGCATGATCCAATTGAACTGAATCACACTTACACTCCACTAAACTCAAGTAGAAAGACTCAATTTGTGTACAGTGGAGGTTGTGTCGAGGAATCGAACATGCGCCCCTGTTTCAAAAATCCTCGTATACGTGCCATGACCTCTCTTTTTGGTATTCTATTGAAATGTTAGATCACCTACAGTGTAGATTGATGTACTTCAGTTCAACCGAATCATGCTAAACATGATTTCAATATCGACTTG